CGATAAGCAATATTTATGAGAAAGTTAAATATCAAAATAACGTAGTTTATCTCCTAAAACCGGGAGTTGAAGTTTTTGTATTTGGTGTAATCTAACATATTTCAAAACAGCAAAAGAGATGCAATAAAGTGATGCAAGTTTTAATTTAAAAAAGAAAAGTTAAAATTTTTTTGATTTCTTTGATCACTTCCTGTGACAAGCGGAAGTGATGACTGATGCGTTTAACCCAAATAGATTCGACTATAGGTCTATTATCATAAAAGTTTGGTGTTTTAATCTGTCACCTGTTTTTAAGATCTCGCTCAGACAGGAAAACACACAACCAGAAGTGAATTCTTGAAAGATATTTATGGTAACTCTAGACATTTGCACTCTGAATAACATATTTAAAATTCATTTCAAATACTTTATCTATAAAGAACATTTATGGGAAAGTCAAAATATGTAGTTTTTCTCTTATAACCGGAAGGTGTCGTTTTTGTTTCCGGTGGGACCAACATCTTTCAAATCTGTGAAAAAGATGCAATAAAGTGATGCAATTTTTAATTAGAAAACAAAAAGATGAAATTTTCGATTTCTTTGATCACTTCCTGTGACGACCAGAAGAGACGGCTGACGATCTTAACCCAAATGGTTTTGCCTACATCTTAAGGTCTATTGCTCATATAAGTTTGGTGTCTTAATCTCTCACCTTTCAGAGTTCTTGCTTAGTCAACTTCTCATTTTGAGGACAGAAAAACACGCGACCGGAAGTGAATTTTACAAAGATATTTGACGTCACTCTAGACATTTGCAGTCTGAAAAACATATCCAAAATTCATTTCAAATGCTTTATCTACAAAAGATATTAATGGGAAAGAAAAATACTAAAATAATGTAGTTTTTCTCTTATAACCGGAAGTTGCCGTTTTTGTTTCCAGTGGGACCAACATATTTTGAAACTACAAAAGATATGCAATAATGTGATATAAGTGTTGATTTAAAAAAGGAAAGTTGAAATTTTATGATTTCTTTTATCACTTCCATAAGCGACCGGAAGTGCCGACGACGAACGAAAGGTAGCGACCAGGCTTGTACCTATAATGATCTATAATCCCTGAAAGTTTGACATTGATATCTTTTACCGTTCTTGAGATTATCCGCGGACAAAATGTCATTTTAAATTCAGAAAATGGTCCGTAACTTGGCACCGGAAGTGAATTTCCAAATTTTCATTCAGATTGATCAAGTTCATGTTACGACACATCTTTCCTGAAAATTTCATGTAAATCCATCGAATAGTCTTCGAGAAATTGCGTGCATAGAAAGTCAAAATAATAATAATAATAACTTGAAACTCATTGCGAGCAATGAGAGGTCTTCCGTCCGATTCTGAAAATAAAAATGAAAATTCAAGCTGAAAAAGTGATAAAAGAAATTCAGACACTCTGGAGATTTAACCCTAATCGTCAGCGTGAAAATCCAACGTGCTAACCATTAACCATTCACTTTTTTACATCAATTCCTTTCACGACCGGAAGTAACGGCGATGCAAGATTTTCTCATGATTCAAATAAACTGATGACTGAATATCAGTCCTGAAAGTTTTAGTCCTCGGTTTTTTACTGTTGCCGAACAATATTGTGGGACTAAATTCTAATTTTGAGAACAGGAAAACACACAACCGGAAGTGAATTTTATAAAAATCTCTGACTATTCTCTAGACATTTGCAGTATCCACAACATGCATAAAATCATTTCAGGTACTTCATCGATAAGCGATATTTATGAGAAAGTTAAATATAAGAATAACGTAGTTTATCTCCTAAAAACGGAAGTTGACGTTTTTGTTTCCGGTGGAATCTAACATATTTCAAAACAGTAAAAGAGATGCAATAAAGTCATGTAAATTTTAATTTAAAAAAGAAAAGTTAAGATTTTTGATTTCTTTGATCACTTCCTGTGACAAGCGGAAGTGACGACTGACGCGTTTAACCCAAATGGTTTCACCTACCCCTCAACATCCATTACTCTTAAAATTTTGGTGTTTTAATCTTTTACCTGTTTTTGAGATCTCGCTCAGACAACTTCTCATTTTGAGGACAGGAAAACACGTGACTGGAAGTGAAATTTCGAAAAAAATATTTAAGGTTACTCTAGACATTTGCACTTTGCATAGCACATTTAAAATTCATTTCAAATACTTTATCTATAAAGAATATTTACGGGAAATTAAAAAAACTCAAATTATTTAGTTTTTCCTCTTCTAACTGGAAGTTGTCGTATTTGTTTCCAGTGGGACGAAAATCTTTCAACTCTGCGAAAAAGATGCAATAAAGTGATGCAATTTTTAATTAAAAAAAGAAAAGTTGAAATTTTCGTTTTCTTTGATCCATTCCTGCGACGACCGGAAGTGACGACTGACACTCTTAACCCAAATGGTTTTGCCTACATCTTAAGATCTGTTGCTCATAGAAGTTTGGTGTCATAATCTCTTACCCTTTCCGAGATCTTGCTAACACAACTTCTCATTTTGAGGACAGAAAAACATGCGACCGGAAGTGAATTTTACAAAGATATTTGACGTTAGTCTAGACATTTGCAGTCTGAATAACATATTTAAAATTCATTTCAAATACTTCATCTACAAAAGATATTAATGGGAAAGAAAAATACTCAAATTATGTAGTTTTTCTCTTATAACCGGAAGTTGACGTTTTTGTTTCCGGTAGGACCAACATATTTCGAAACTACAAAAGAGATCCAATAATGTGATGTAAGTATTGATTTAAAAAAGGCAAGTTGAAATTTTACGATTTCTTTGATCACTTCCGTAAGCGACCAGAAGTGCCGACGATAAACGAAAAGTAGCGACCCGGCTAGTACCTATCACGAACTATAATCCCTGACATTGATATCTCTTGTCGTTCTTGAGATTATCCGCGGACAAAATGTCATTTTGAAATCAGAAAATGGTCTGTAACTTGGCACCAGAAGTGAATTTCCAAAAAATCTCTCAGGTAGATCAAGTTCATGTTACAACAAACTTTTCCTGAAAATTTCATGTAAATCCATCCAATAGTTTTCGAGAAATCACGTGCACAAAATTAGAAAATCAAAAAAATAAGAATAATAATAATAATAATAAGAAGAAGAAACAGTAGAATCACTATAGGTCTTCCGTTGAAAGCGGAAGACCTAATAATAATAAGAAACAGTAGAATCTCTATAGGTCTTCCATTGAAAAAGGAACACCTAATAATAATAAGAAACACTAGAATCACTATAGGTTTTCCATTGAAAACGAAAGACCTAATAATAAGAAACAGTAGAAACACTATAGGTCTTCCATTGAAAACTCTTATGAAAAACTTCGATTCCCCATTGTGGCCCCATTCTATCCCAGGGGGGGGGGGGGGGTCATGATCTGAAAAAAACTTAAATCTACACTACCTGAGGATGCTTCCATATAAATATGACCAATCATGGCTTTGCTGTTCTTAAGAAGAAGATTTTTAAAGACATTTTCCTATGTATTTCTATGTAAAAATTTGATCCCCCATTGTGGCTCCACCCTGTCCCCGGGGGTCATGATTTGAACAAACTTGAATCTACACTACCTGACGATGCTTCCACATAAGTTTCATCTTTCCAGGCCCAGTGGTTCTTGAGAAGAAGATTTTTAAATGATGCCATTATTTTTTCACTAATTCCTAACTATCTCCCCTTGAAAGAGGACATGGCCCTTCATTTGAACAAAGTTGAATCCCCTTCACCCAAGGATACTTTGTGGCAAGTTTGGTTGAATTTGGCCCAGTGGTTCTTGAGAAGAAGTCGAAAATGTGAAAAGTTTACAGATGGACAGACAGATGGACGGACGTACAGACGGACAATGGACAAAATGTAATCAGAAAAGCTCACTTGAGCCTTTGGCTCAGGTGAGCTAAAAAGACCATTTTTCTTTTGATTACAAGAATGATCAACATCTAAACTGCAACTTTATATAATTACACTAAACAAGAGGCCCAGGGGCCACATCGCTCACCTGAGCACTGTGGCTAGGAAAAGAGGAAAAATCTGTTTAGTATTGAAAAGCTTAAATGCATAAGTGGTCCCAACCTACCCAAAAAGGAAGTGGGGGGGGGGGTGTAAGGATGCTTACATGATTTTTTTACTAACTGTGACTTTTTTCTCTACAAGTTTGAACTTTCATTGTGGCCCCACCCTACCCCTGGAGGTCATGATTTGAAAAACTTGAATCTACACCACCTGAGGATGCTTCCATATAAATATGACCAATCATATCTTTGCTGTTCTTGAGAAGAAGATTTTTGAAGATTTTTCCTCTATATCCCTATGTAAAACTTTGATCGTCCATTGTGGCCCCCATCCTACCCCCGGCGGTCATGATTTGAACAAACTTTAATCTACACCACCTGAGGATGCTTCCAAATAAATATGACCAATCATAAGTTTGCTGTTCTTGAGAAGAAGATTTTTGAAGATTTTTCCTATATTCTCCAATGTTAAACTTTGATCGTCCATTGTGGCCCCACCCAACCCCCAAAGGACAGATGGAAGGACAGGATGGAAGGATAGAAGACAGATATGACAAACACTTTATGCCCTGGCCATATTGATGAGGAAGGACAGGATGGAAGGACGAAAGACAGACATGACAAACACTATATGCCCCAGCCATATTGATGAAGGAGCATAAAAACTTGATCATCATGCAACCCCTGCATGATACGAAGTTCTATTCTAAATCAACATCGTAAGTGCTGTACTCCACTTATAAGTGACTTTTGTTAACTCATACTAAGTGGCTAATACTTAACTTATAACTCACTTATAAGTGACTAATATAATCACTAATGTCAGTTATCAGAAATTTCTTTAAGGGATGATTCCAGCTGCACTACAATCCACTTTGATTATTCTATTTTACTATAGTACCCATATTCCCTGACTTACGTTGACATACACCGAGCAGTGCAGGTCACCTCACATATACATACCTTAAGGAGAGATTCCTGTTTTTCTGAATCTATTTCATGTCCTGCTGCTTCTATACACTGACTTACTGCTACCTCCAGTTTGTCTTTAATAATTCTAATGTATTCATCTGCTTTCTGGCTTCCTTTCTAAAACCATTATCAAAAATATTCTACAAAGTATGTATTATACAAACTATATACAGCAAAACACGCTTATAGCAAAGTGCCATTGACATTTGATTTGTTATAAACATCATTCGTAATATCCGTTAAGATAACTACAGGGGTTGAAAATTACTTTGCTGTGACTGTGAATTCATTATATAGTGTTTGCTATAACTGTGTTTTAGTGATAACAATAGGCCCAAGGGCCTTAGCGTTCAACTGAGTGTAATAAAACCCTGTAAGAGATCCATGGAATAGAACTTCATAATTATACAATAAAATAATAAACTATGAAGATATGTTGCTCAAAAACAAAATAAAAGATAAAAACCTAGAACTATGTCCATAGGACATGAATGCCCTACCCAGGGTTGATTAGTAATGCATGATGAAAATTTGCATTAGTGTATGAAGTTTGATGAAAATATCGTGACTAGTTTCCTTAAAACTGAGAAAAGAGTGTTAAACGGCAATTTTTACACATTTTAAGTTTTTCATGGATTTTGATACAGCAAGGTTAGGAGTTCCAAAGTCAAAATGAACAGCTGTTATTCAGCTGTTAAGTAACCTTAGCTGTTAAGTAACCTTCCCAGTTCTCATTTAACAGCTGTTCTTTAGCTGTGCCTTAGCATTCCAGTTCACTCACTTTATGCAAATTAGTAATTTGGATACACACATTCCAATAGCAGTAAACAGCAGTTAATTAGCATTCCCAGTTCTTTAGCTGTCATATAGGCCGAAATATTTTAATTAGCTCCGTCAAAACAGCTGTCCGATATGAATATTAATGAGAACTACTTCAAAATCTGCTGTAAGCTAATTAACATTCAGGAGAACTGCTAACAAGCATTTCCTTATATGGATATCCAAATGGCTTAAAACTGCTAGGAACTGCTATAAAACTGCTACATGATGCATACATACATAATTATTTACAACACCATCAACAATGTGTATAATTATATACAAATTATTATATTAATTTAAATGACAGAAAAAATGTACACATTATGTTCATGACCAATGTACTGGATCCTATCTTTTGACAAACAAACAGAAGAGCATTGGAAAAAGTTTAAACTGTTCATCCACAAAGAGAAACTGTTCAACCACAAAGAGCAAGAGCCACTTAGGGCCTTTTTTGGCCCTGAGAATTTCTGAAAAATTGAAACTGCTCAGTTTTGGTTGAAAATGTAGTATTTATAACTTGGATCCTTGGTGGCCATGTATCCATTGAACATGACGTAATTTTCTCTCTAGTCAATACATTATGACATCATAAAACACATCATTTTCCCCATATCCTGTACATTCCCTTAAAAATGGCCAAAAGTTGAGGTATTTTTTCAATATTTCATGTAAAGCACAACCTCTGATCCAAAATATGCAATTACATAATTAAAGATCTGTTTCTGAAAATCTCAAAATATGTTTTAATTTTTGGATTGTGGGCTGTGCTCATATTTTAATTCTTTGCTGAAGGTAGTCAAATACGCATGTTTTCTACAAAATTCAAGAACATTGAATTTTCTCAAAGCCTGTTTTCCAATACCTGGATTCTCAAAAAGAAAATTTGTTATAGGAAATGAGAGCACTAAGTCTCTACTTTATTTTGATATATGAAATGGGACAGAGGGTGATAATCAATTAATTGATACAAGGACAGGGCCATTATATGCATAAAGGGAACGTAGCATTTTATCATGAAAAAAATAAGAATGTGGCATTTTTAGATAATAAATAAAATAGAAATCTATTCAAGTGGTACTAGTAAAAAATAAAACACTTAGATTTTGGGGAAAAAAATAAAGATATTTGACACAGAAATATGAATATTTACTAAACTCATGTAGACTTTTTTATTAATCTTGATTACATTACATACACTTTACAATATATATATGTAAACAACAGCTACAAATTTAAATCATTAGTAAGAACATCTTATGGTATTGGATTTTGCCATTTTCTACCTGCATTCCTGATTCATTTCTCACAATTCAATTTATATACCAGGGCTGTGCTTCACACCCATCTGTCCAACAGAAATTTTCTTGACTTCTTCGTAACTTGTAAGGTCACTGCATTTTTAATGTCTGGCAGCAGCACTGGGTCAATTGGCAAATCCTATCAGATAACACACTTTTAGTTTCACGGTGCATTAATAATAAAATTTAACTTAATTGCTTCCCTTTTATAATCTTTTATATATACAAGTTTGGTTTCTTCAATTTTATATCAATTTGTTTAATGGCAATCATAATTAGTTGGTTACAGTGTTTTTAATTAAAGATTTTCTTTAATAAAGCTTTTCCTAAATTAAAAAAAAAAAAAAAATATATATATATATATATATATATATATATATATATATATATATATATATACCTCATACATAAATATCTCTGGACCAGCTTTAAGCCCTAGCTGTTAAAGTCACAATAACCACTTATTCTTTATCATCAGAAAATCTTCTCCTTCTACCAAAAAAAATGTACAGTAAATCAGTGCAAGAGATTAACCCCCCCCCCCCCCCCCCCTCAAAAAAAACCCCACTTTTAATTGTGCTAAATGATGAGTTCTATTAGCTGACTGATTGTGGCCGAAACATAGCAGATAGAGTATTTAATTTCTATTTATCAATAGACACACATATATACTAGGGATGTCAACGAGTACCCGGTTAACCGGTACTCGATCGAACGTCCGAGTATCGAATCTAAAATGGTACTCGGTTACTCGGAAGTGTATTTTTTTCTTATTTCAAAGTACATATTTTTATCAAAATCTGATCAATAACTCCAATATGCATACAGTAATTGGCGTGTCTTCATATACACCTGTAAAACGCCCGTTATCGCCTGTGGCTGTGTATATACAGTAATTAGTGACCAATCACCTGGTACACAGCTGTTCTCACCTATTGTGGTCCTTAATTTTTGGATGGCTTCAATGATTGTTTTCAGTGAACATAGTTAAGTATGGTCTATAATCTTAACTCGTTTTTTAAATTATTTAATTGATATACGGTAGCGAAATCGGACATGCATTAGAAATGCCGCTACCCACTTCAAAAAGGAAGAAATATTTAGAAACAACTGAAGTTTGAAAAAATGTTGAAAGTCAGTTTGCGTAGTAAGTTTAGTGTATATGGGGGAAACAACCAACATGTGAAATGATATAGAATAGCGATCCCAACAACGTCCGTTCCTTCCCTTTCGCTAGTCGAATCACCACAAACCTGCATAACAGATTGTCTTCCTTTTGTGTTGATGAAATAGATCCTAAACAAAAACTATAAACCATTTGTAATTTTTGATGCATTAATTGTGTCCTTTGTGTTTATTTGGTAAGTAAATTTAGTACCAAAAAATCATTTCCCTTGGACTCAATTGTTTATATACATTTATAAACATGAAAAAAAGAACAGCTTTGGGGTTTAACAGAGCTTAACCTGAAAACCTAGAAAATTAACACACTTGTATGTATTTTCATTTTTACCGAGTACCCGGGTACTCGATCGGAAAAACGTCCGAGTAACCGATTATCAAAAATTGACCAATTTGACATCCCTAATATATACATAAAAAAAAAGATACCTACCATATATAAAATATCTTTTTTCTTTTATCTTTTGGTAGATATAGCAATACAATCTCGGGCTTATTGGTCAGCAATCCCCCTCTTCAAGACATTCTCTTTCCTTCTCTCCAAACAATACAACATGGAAGCCAAGATTGAATTTTGGTCGTCTGTTTTTAAATTAATTGATCACTGAGCACGACATTTCAAAAACTCGAGATCCCGATCAAATTATACATAACAGCTAAGAGAAACAGAGAACTGCTGTTAACTCCAAAGCAGTTTTTTTAAACCTGTTATAAGATGAACAACTGAAGAACAGCTTAAAAACATAGAGTTTATGTACATAGGTGTGCTACGTCTTTTTTAAACATGGTTTTTGTTGACTGAAAGTGTCAGAATCTCTATTTTAACAACTTTTAAGTGTACTGTATAGGGGGAAAATAACTCACAGTGTTAATATTCGCTATATTCACGGTGTGAATAAATACGTGAATTCAAGAAACAGCGAATAAGTTTTCAATAACCTCCATGTTTTATTTGGAAATTTGAGAAAAGACTACGATAGGTATATTTACGTACAGTATATTGCAATTCAGTAATTATGAGTAGTAACTGTCATTCAATTATTTTAATTATCACACTTTACTTTAATTCAAATCAGCAGATAATAACTTGTAATTATTGTTAAAAAGCAGTTTTAATAGCCAACGTTATACATGTTTGATCAATCAAAACAAAAGGGTTGTGGGTTTTGATTACCCGTGTGTAACTAACATTATACCTGCATTATCATGCCTATAAGTTTTTATCGACATTTCGTTAAAAAAAACTATACATATAACTATCGAACTTGCTAAAGATATCGAAGGATATTATTTCGTTGACCTACATTTACACATTTGTTACCGTCCAGTGGTTTTTCGATGCGATGTTATGTACATGCACTCATCATAATAGCATATAGGTAAGTCATTCGACATTTATATTCAAAGACTTTTAACAACGACACTTGTTTTGATTAATCGTAAATTAATTACTAAATCTAACAATTTTATATAAACCTACCCTGCTGTTCGTGAAGTAAATACATTATCAACGCTGATTAATGTCCTTCTAGCTATGCTGTGAATTAAACGGATAAAGACAAGGGAGGTAACTTTTATTATATCCCAATTCCGTGAATTCAACAAACCATGATTGTGTCAGAGGAGAGAAAAATGTGAAAATTACAACCCGTGAAATTAATCCCCTATACAGTATTTAAAGAAGATTCAAAATTCACAATATCGAGTAATTTTGACTGACAGGTGTAGCACTGTTGTGCATGGATTTCGTATAACTATACATATACAGATTGCGATTGAAAATAATAAACAAACAGATCTAAAGAAAAGATA